TAGAGACACTAAACAGAGGTGACAGACAAAGATATAGTAATAACGAAGAACAAAACAGTTTCATTGGAAATCATAAGTCACAAGGAGTGGATGCATCTGCGCCAGCCATTGAGAACGATCACTTTGAGCCATGTCACCAATTGTTTCCAACCATTAGTTTTTATTGTCCCGAGGACCCCAACCACGAAGTCTACACCTTCCTACGTGGCTGGTTTAAACTAACTGTTGTGGATTTCATTGACTGATGAGGTCATGGTTTTGTTTGACCGCCGCTAGGTCTTTTCCAGCCTGACCCTATATCAGCTAACATTGCCCATTGTCGAGGAAGGCGAAGACTAGGCATACGTTGCACATGTCTTAATCATCTCAGTCGATGTCATTTCACAGCCTCATCGATTGATTTCCCCTCCTTACCTAGCACTCGACCGATGCATAAGCTTAATATTGCTCACCTTATTATACCACTTCACACGGGAGATAGAACGCCGTTGGATCGGGTCCCAGTGGCTTAATGGTCAACGAGCTTGCCTTGTAACCAGAAGGTCCTGGGTTCGAGCTGTGGTGGTGGATGCGTAATGATGAAGAGTCCCAAACTAGTCTGACGAACCAGCTGTCCAGTACTCCCTGTAGGTATTTCCAATGGTTCTCTATGCAATGTCAGCTCATGATGAAATCCTGTAACCAATCAATCAAATCCCTACAAACCTATACTTGAATAATAATTTAATCTGCTTGAAATGCACTTAACTTGAAGATCATTTCTATGACGTATTCCATCAGGTGAGTATTGTTGTTACACACATTTCAAAGATGTTGGTTTGTTTCACTCATAGGTGTTCTCGATTTTATGAATCAATGGAAGTGACATAACTGAAAAATATCTGCGAAGATTCATACATAAAGTGTAGATTTGTATTTAGTGTACTCGGTTTCTCAGATTCGTTTTTTCAATATACAAGCACTATTGAAGCAAACGTTTTTCTTTAAACTATATGTAATTGTTAGTGTTTATAATTCATTCCCCGCGTTTCGAGTGGACTTCCCCAGGATATATCTTATCTGCGGCATCACTGCCTTCATAACTGCCAAAACAGAATAATTTCCTCTTCACACAAACTCCTTTGGATTGCCTGCGAACGTCTATCACCTCGTCTTTCATTCGGTTCGCAGTGAAGGGCCTAGCGCGTAATATCCCTTATCGGTCTTTTCAGCATACGCTCAGTCCATCTCCATTTCCTTCGGCATATTCTCTGGGTATTATGGTTTTGGTTCGTTCCTTTCCTTTCTGACCCACCGTCTGATCTTCGTCGCTGAGCTAAGGCAGGTGTTGGCACACGTTTATGGTGGTGGTGGTGGTGTTGGAAATGCTTTTAGTGATGCGCGCGCGTCAAGTCTGCGAACCATATAGAAGCACTAATGCGACATCAGTGTTGAAAATCTCAGTCTGGTGACTACTGTAGACTTCCACATTGCTTTTTAGGATTATGAGTACCTACCTTGCTTTCCCACTCCTGTTTCTGACGTCTTCATCTGTTCTGCATGTAGCTAGAACGATGCTGCACATGTGTGTGTGTATATTTATTAATGAAATTGAATGCATTTCCGTGAAGCAGACTGAACTATATTACATTAGATATGCTTTTTTATCCCTGTGAATATTTAGTTGAAATTAATAATTCCTGGATGGCGTAAATTTTACTTAGGAAACCTGGTTTTATATTGGTGCACGGTGACTAGCAGTGGAATCCAGGATGCGCGTTTCGTCCTATTCGGGACCCATCGTCTGGATGTACCTGCATTCCCCATTGAGTGATGATGTTCCCACCGAGGCTCGAACCCACTGCCAAATAGTTTCAAACGACAAAGCGTTATCCACTAGACCACTTCAGCCACGAGAGCCACCTCTTGTGCAACGGGTCATAGTAATTATTTAATTGAATTTTAGATTTTCCCGTCGACTGATTGGACCGAAGTGCTCGGCCTTAATCGACGGGAAAATCTGAAATTCAAATAAACCTGATTTATTTAAACTTGATAAGTACTAGTGTAACAACAGAAGGCAAGAGACGGAAGCCAAGCTATATCTTTCGTTAATCAAACTATTGTTTATGTGTACATACAGTTTATATCCGTTAGCAAATCACTGAGCGTATGCTTTTGGTTTACATTAAACAACATGAAATAGAATGTTCAGATATATACATATATAGTATTCTGTTGCTAATGACAAATGAAACTGTGGGAGTATGTGAGAATAATGTTCCGTTGGAACACACTGTCTGTATCACACCACCATACTACTATTAATCTTGTTTTTTTCTCTCAAAGATTCCATGCTCACTAAAACTTCAGTGAACTTTAGCTGATTTGCAGCCATCCAAGCGTGACGATTTATTTAGTTGGGATAAGATTCTTAGATTATGTGAAATGATGGATTGGCCGTACTCTGAGCAAATAAACCATCAAGTGAGTGACATCACACGCCAGGCAATTGCTCGAGTGGGACCCGAAAGGGAAGCGGCGAGTTGGTCGTCAGTGCAAGGGTGACTTGGAGGAGGCAGTCATGTGAAGAGGAGATGAAACGTGTAGGCAGACTTGGAGCCAGGTGAAGACTCTAGTAGAGAACCGAACGCAATGGAGACGCACGGCTGAAGCCCTATGTTCCTCTAGGAATTAAAGGACATATTAATAATAAATAATAATGCTACTAATGAATATCAACACAGATAATGAGTCAACTTAAATAAAGGTACATATTTGGTTCAGCCACTAGTTTAAAGGGGTATTAAATGTACATGTAGAAAATGAAAGACAATTCATCAGCGAAGAAAAGTTTCTTGATCGACGAATTCATCTTCAGAGGCTGTACAGTCGTATTTATATTTTGAAGTGATTAGATTTGGTCCTGTATAGGTAACTTTAACAGATAAATCACGTGATTTGTCCTTTAAAGGTATTCATATTTACCAAAAATGTGTAGTACTCCATTACTGAGTAATAGGGGTGGGAGGCGACATAACTGATATAATTACTCAGAGGTTGCTTTGAAAGTAAAAAATAAAAGTTATCAGTAACGTAATACTCAACAACGGCACAAAGGAAGAAAGCGTTAGAAATGTGATAAGGTTCAAATTGTTACTGGGTACGTTTCTCACTACCTTCATACATGTTAAATGGACACTGAACCACCTTTCTCCTCAATCAATAACAAATTTAACCTTATCAAAAACTTTTAACGCTTTCTTCTTTTGTGTCGTTGTTGAGTATTGCGTAACTAGTAACTTTTATTTTTTACTTTTGAAGCCACTTCTGAGTAATTATATCAATTATGTCGCCTCCCCACTATTACTCATTAATAGACTATTATGCGCTTTTGGTAAGTATGAATACGACTCTACAGCCTCTGAAGATGACCTCGTCGATAAAGAAAATTTTTTTCGCTGAATTATTTTTTAGATATAAGTGTAAAACTTGGCCACTGTGGTAAAGTATAACTCCATTATGGATAAGATTTTATTTCGATAAATCACACAGTGTTCTACAGTAACATTAACTGATGACGTTTTGAGAACTAATTATCACTGCTCATAATCATATCAAGGTACTCACACAACTTTCTTGCTTCATTTATATACATGAGTAAAATTGATGATTATACATTTGAATAAAAATCAATATGGGATAATGTACATCCTCCTCAAATCAGACGAGGATAATAAATAATCTCAAAATTCTATTTCAATTCAAACACATTATAACATTCTAACAAGTTACTTATTATGGCTATAAAAACACTCGTCTGATTGTATTTGATTGATAACACAAATCACAGCAGGAAAAAAGCCAATCTACATTCAGCTTGATTATAAAGGTGAAAGCATTGCAGTGATGATCAACAGAAGGCTGAGCACATCACTAGCCATAGCCTATCCTGCAGCTAAGCTCGTCTCCGTCTACCGAACAACTTGCTCTTTGTTGCAATCAAAAATCGATAGATATCCTTCTCATGTAAACTCCAATTGTATATACAAATTTACATGTATCTGCGGGAGCAGTTACATTAGAAGGACAGAAAGAAGGGCATATCTACGATTTTCTGAACATTTACCAAAACGCTGAAGTCTAAAGAAAATAAATGCTTTAAACAGTGCCGTCGCTAGGCATCTCCTTGACACGAGTCATGAGGTGGACGTCGAAAAGTCGTTCAAAATTATCAATAGGCAAAATAGCTCAATTCCCCTCAAGTTTTCTGAAGCCATTTCCATCAAGCGCCTAAAACCTGATTTATGTGTCCAGAAAGAAGCGGTTATTAGTCTTTCTTTGCCTTGGTAACTAGATATTTTTCATTCGAATGCGAGATACTGAAAAGTTTTCATTGTGTATGATTATTATTGTTCGGAATATTGTTTAATATTACATATATATATTATTACTGTATGCATATACTGATTGATCGATTGATTTTTGTTTAAAATGAACTCTGTGCAAGTATGTTAAAATTGTTCTTGTAGATACATTTAATAATGTCTTTGCCCTGTAAGCAGCTGACGAGAAAGCAGCGAAATAAAGGATGGAACCACCTTATTCTGCGAAAACCACTGTTGTTCTTGCTTTGTTCAAATTCATTAAGGGGAATAAATGTATGAAATATTATTATTTCTGAATGTATGTACATTATCCCATATTGATTTTTATTCAAACATCTAATTAATTCCACTCATGTATATAAATGAAGCAAGAAAGTTGTGTGAGTAGTGACTTGATATGATTATGAGCAGTAATCAGTTGTGCTCGAAACGTCATCAGTTAATATTACTGTATAACACTGCGTGATTTATCAAAATAAAATCTTATCCATAATGGAATCGTCTTTTATTTTCTTCATGATTCAATGGGAATTTTCGATGAAATGTGCATGTATCAAGTCAAGTTATGAAGCAATATGAACTTCTTTAATTCTTTCGAAACAGTAAAGAATATTCTTGATTCTGAAAACTCACCTTCGTTTCCTTCTTGCACTAGAAGTAAAAAGATAAACAAAAAAAAGAAACTGTTCAGCATTTTATCATTATTATTATTTATTTAGAATAATTATTATAAGTAAACGTGTGAGTCAGTGTTTTTTCAGTGAGAGAATGCTCACCGGCTACACAGGAGGTCCACATCCGATCACTGGCCAACGTACTCCTACACCTCGCCAAGTTGGCAGTAAGGTCAGAACAGTGAGAAGGTTAGCTGTATGACTAGCAGTCCCACTCCGTAAAAGAAAAAACACCGCCACTACTAAAACTTGCAAAATCTTGAGGCCTTTAATGTGCATTTTTTCTATTACCCGTCGATTTATAGTTCCAGAGAATCGTTACAAAGGCATTCAGGTGAATGCTCTTTTTAATTCTAATCCAACTGAGGTAGAATAAAGCTGATAAGCCTGATGCAATACTGCATAACTTCAACTAAGGTTAGTTGTTCAACATCATTCCTTCTTGAGTATTAGGCATATTCACTCACTGTTTAACAACAGTTCTGATTTTCTGAACATGTGCCGAAGAGCCTACGTGCTCTCCTCGATACGGGTCATGTGGGGGAAATCGCGAAATCCTTTAAAATTATCAATATTCGAAGGAGCTCGATTCTCCTCAAGTTGGCCGAAGCAATTTGTATCAAACGCTTGAAACGAGATTTATGTGTTCAGAAAGAAGCAGTTATCAGTCTTTCCTTACCCTGGTAACTGGGTGTCTTTATTCTTTCTTTCATTTGATTACATAATCTTTGGCTTTAACCTCACACACCCCTTTGACATAGTGTAATTTTGTTTGTCTCTTGTTTCTATGATTTGAGTTGAACTCAGTACACTGTGACCTAATTTATTAGTCACTCAACAGCATCTTACGCATCTCTCGTCTTTATTACGTAACTCCTTTGCCATTGCATGTCGTCATTAATATCACTATCACTACTATTACTATTTATTTTATTTCTACATTTCCCTACATACTTCCTGATTAATTAATCAGGGTAATTATTAAGTTTCAAAGCTTCTTTTCTATGCCTCACTTCCTGTCTTAAATTCTCCTTGGTACCACTTAGTTTTTGTTCCCTATTACTTAAACATTTCACCAAATTTTTTTACTGACATGGGGTGAGGTGACAGGAAATCCAAATATTGGTTTGAATGTATGGGTTTCCGGTAAACACACACTAGTGTTTAACTTCCCATCTTATTTCCTTTTTACGCTGCAATCTAACATTGGAAGCTCCCCTTCCTGACCATCTAATTCATAAGTGATTTGAATTGCCTCCACCTTCGATTTGATGTGTTCAATAAATCTATTTATATCCTGTGTTCCAAGTACAATGAATGTGTCGTCTACATACCTCCACCATACTTTTGGAGTAGAGGTGAACGTTTCAATCACTAAGTTTTCCCTCCTATCCTTGAATATATCTGCCACAATCGGGGATATTGATGACCACATGGCAACTCCTTCAGTTAGTTTGTATATTTTCCCTTGGACTTGAAATCTTATGTGAATGTTGTGTAGTTAGAAGTGATATGATTATGCACTATAGAGAAGTGTTTTCGAAACACTATCGTCCAGTGAATAATACTCTTTCAATACTGTATGATATATCTAATAAAGAAATGAATATGGAATACACCATATTCCATTTAATTAGAACACAATTTTCAGCCTACTAATGTCATAACTACTGATGAGAGGAAGTTTCTACGAAATCCACCTATTTATAAATAGCACCTATGCTATATTTACACTGATAGACAGACAGTAGGTTGGCTGATTTTATGCATTCGCGTCTTTCTTTGTTTTTTTTTTGCCTGTGAACACCAGTGCAGAAAATGTGAACTCTAATACGACAAATAGAATGGAACAATACTTATTTTTTTTATAAAAAAAGTATTTTCTTAGCTTGAGATTTTGTAGGACGTTTTATGCGATCTATGGTGGAGTGATTGACAAGATAACTGGGACATAGTAATCATGCATTTCTGAGTCATACCTTTTGTTTGTTTGTTAGTTAGTTTTTTTAAAAAGAAACAATTGCAAGAGTAGTTAATCCATTTGTCATTTGACTACACTTAATTGCAACTACTGACTGAGTCATAAAGATGTTGGTTCCAAGTGTCGAGGAAAAAATTACATGTGTGTAACTACTATGTTGCATAACACACAGTGTTGTTTCACAGTTGGAATAAACAAACTAGATTTTTAAGTGTTTTGGACTTTATTCTACTCGAAGCCTTAAGAACACACACACACACACTCACCAACATACACATAATAAGACAACAATGTTGACTGAATTTGCAATTTGACTCCAGAATGGCAAAAATAACCACGATCATTGCATGATCTGTTTCATTACATGTGTGCGTGTGTATGTGTCTGTGTGTGTGTGTGTGGTTGATATTATTTGAAGCCAAGTTGTTCACTGACGTCTAAACCAAAATAATAATAATTCGTCCTGACTACCTTTTATTTAGTAAGCTAATTTATTTTATTCAAAGCTACACATTTGCTTTAAGGTAATTTTAAAGGGTTGCGCAGATCATGATCAGCTCGTCTGTGTAACTGTTAACAACTGGGAATGTCAAGATTCTTTGAAATTGAAGTATGCACTGAGGATGTTGCCTAGTAAGGCAGTGAAATCTTTACAGGTACACCATCCAGCTCAGAGAACACAGCTACACCGAAATCATCCACCCCCTTGTGAGCTACAAATCTTCTCCACTAGAGTGGAGTTTCTGTCCTGCAAGATGCAGTCCCATTTGTCGTAGTTATATGGGCGATTAAACGCTAATACATCACTCAGGTTAGTGTTCAAAGAGTGGCCTGGAAAGTGCATGCCTTGTGCGGTTTGTATAACTACCTCCATTTATGCAAGTAAACTTTTATATTCACGGAAAAACTCATCCAGACATGATTATAAGAGTAACAACGTTCAGCAAAGTGGCTCTTTTCAGCAAGTTCATTCAATTAGCTGTACAACCGCATTTATATATATAATCATTTTGTATGTGTATGTATGTGTACATTAGGAATTTCAAACAAAAATAAAATAAAAACTAGTTAGGGTTTCAAAAATGTGATGAATAAACAAATGGTAACTAGGGGGAGGGGGTGGTTGAAGATGGGTAATATGAAATAGGATGTCAATGAAAGAGCATGGAGACACTTATCAAAAACAACTTTCATATGCTTAATCAAGTGACCCTGATTTGGGCAGTTTGCCCTTCACACATTTTCGAATCGATTGCAAAATTAAAAAGATAGTCCAGAGCTGAGTAGAAATAAGTACTTTTCAACAATTTGGATTGATGACTGTACATAAAATCTTAACCGGAGAATAGTATTTAAACCTTTAGGGATTCTTCGTTTCTAGTGGATGACTGACATGTTTTCCTTGATGGGCCTCTTAAGGTATAGTAGGCTTTAGATTAATTTTTGTCCAACTCCTTCAGGTTTATCATCGGTCGCTTCATCAAACGTTTTTCTCTTTAGATTCAGAAAGAATCCAGATACTGAAAATTACCTACTGATAACTCCATGCTGATCATTAGGTCTCATTTTCAAGGAAAAAATTTACGGGACTGAAATCAAAAATTTGCCTGGGATTGTAATTTAAACTTGGTCGCCTGACTACAGTCACTGAACTCTGTCATTATAATTTCGGTATTAGAATGTCCCTCTTTTACCTACCTGGTAAGCATCGTTTCAACTACAAGTGGACGGAACTGATGAGGATATCAAATCAAGAATCGGAAAAGTAAGGCAAGCTTTCACTACTCTCAAGTCTGTGTGGAGGTCAACAACACTGCTCAGCATCGAAAATAAGATCCGGATTTTCAACTCCAATGTGAAGTCAGTGCTACTCACCATACGGATCAGAGACTTGGCGCGTCATAAAGAGCATCTCAAACAAACTACACACCTTCATTAACAGTTGTCTTCGCTCAATACCACTCAAGATCAGATGGCCGGCCAGAAAAGATCAGCAACAGAAATCTCTGGGAGCGAACCGACCAACAACCGATTGTGAAACAAACAGGCAGGAAGAAATGAAGGTGAATTGACCATACTCTGAGGAAACCATCAAGTGACATCACTAGACAAGCCATTGCTCGAGTGGAACCCGAATGGGAAGCGGCGAGTTGGTCGTCAGTGCAAGGGTGACTTGGAGGAGGTCATGTGAAGAGGAGATGAAAGCATGTGGGCAGACTTGGAGCCAGGTGAAAACTCTAGCAGAGAACCGAACGCAATGGAGACGCATGGCTGAAGCCCTATGTTCCTCTAGGAATTAAAGGAAACAATAATAATAATATGTTCCTCACTTATATTCAATGTATCATTCGTGTATCTAATAATAACATAGGTAGGAACTCTAAGTTACCTATGAACTGTGGGGTGCAATTATTATCATCATTAAACATTACAGTAGTAACTGATGAGTGTCCAGTTAAAGTATAATACAGTCAGTCCTACAGGAGGTCAGTCGCGAACTCAGATAGATCAGTGGTAACATCTGTGACTGCAGCACTGGGTAAGACAGAGTTCGAATCTCAAAAGGGAATGGGTTACTTCAAGCTTGCAGATACGCCTCGCTGACTGGTGAGTGCCAACTGGCACGAAACCCAAGGTTAGTCTGGGCTTCTTGCGGAATGCCCTCGACCGTCTAATAACAACTGTTCTGAGTGTACCGTGATGGCGAGCCACCAAGTGGATGTTGGCCACATCGTAAACTTTACTGAAAGAATTCAGTCTACAGCAAAAAAAGAGGGACTAGACAAATGACACTAGTTACTGGTGTTCAATAAAAAGCAACTAACTATACAGTTGGAATATGCTGTTGCAGACAGTTTCCTCATTTACAGTTGTCGAGAGAGAGCCCTTTTCTCTCTACTTTCACAAGGTGGAGCTTCCAACACAAACTATAAAAGGGTGTATTCCAAACGGAGTCATTTTATTGGCTAACAAACAACACTCACAGGGGAAATGTC